TTTAATATTCGGTCAGATTCATTATTCGAGATAGATTACTGACGAATGTTCCGACGCATTCGAAACCTTCGAGACCCATTTTATGGACCACGTTGAAGTGGAAGATCGCAAGTCACGCCCTACTTCAGGACACCGATATCACGTCATTTCCGAATTTGCCAGCTACTGCACAAGCAACCAAACAGACCAAGGCGAACCAAGCCGACCACCACTCCGACTACTCTACCAAACCGTACTACACCAAAGACTACCAACCATGTTCAGTACGTGGGATCTCGTCCGACCGCGCTTCTGGTACCCCATGTCGTCTCTGGAGCAATCCATGATGGAGCTCGAGCACATGAGCGACCTCATGAGCCGCTCGCGCTTCCCGTTCGACATGGGCAGCGAGATGCTAGCGGCGCCCAGCAACGTTGACGACGACGAATTCTTCCGGGATCTGCCCGTGCTCGCGCGTGAGCGGAGACCGGCGACGCAGCACCGTGAGGTAGCTGCACAGCCGACAGGGAAGAAGACCGACGCGCACGACCCGACTTCGACCCGTGACAACGACCCGAACAAACAGACCGGGGTCAAGGGGGACACCAACGCTAACACGAAGACCTCGGTCAAGAAACACCCAAGCCAGAAGCAGCAGGCTGACAGCACCGATATTGACGCCGACGACCAGTACCGCCGCGCCTTCTCGTCCTACACGTTCAGCAACTCGTCCATCGTGGACGACAAGGGCCGGCGCGTGACGAGCTCGCGGCGCCGCTACGAAGACTCGACGGGCCGTCTGAAAGCGGTGCACGAGCGCCAGGTCGAGGGCAAGAAGCTACGCACGACGTGGAACCGCATGGGCCCCGACGACGACGGCCAGCACGAAACGCAGTGCTCGAGCGGCACGCCCGACGAGTTCGAGGCGCTGTGGCAGCAGACGCCGTTCGGAGAGGCGCAGAAGAAGACTATCAAGGAGCAGCAGCGCCAGCAGCAGTTGGAGCAAGGACAGCAGACCAAGGCGCTGAACCAGCAACAGACAACCGACTCGAAGGCGGCAGCGGAGAAGGAAGCAACGCCCATGGAGGAGTAAACTGTCGTTACGATGCTCTACGTGTGTGGAGTCTATATTTTATGGACTGATCATTTCACTGTGGTTGCCTTCTTGTTTACGAAGTAGTTTTCTTGATTGTTAATGCATTTTCTTGACAAGTCTAGTTTAACAAAGCATCACTTCGGTTTAATCGGTGATACATCACAGAGAGGTAGTTTAAAGATTCATTACATCAAATTATCGCAACTGCATTAGATGGTGGACGGCAGCCGTGCAAGTTGCCAATGCGAAGCCTTCTGGCCCATTTGCAACCGATTGTGGAGCAAAGCTACCGAGTATCGCTAACTGTGTGAAAATGTGAAAACACGCCGAAGGTGCCGAGACGAGGATGAAGCCCAGCAAAGGACACAGATCCTCAGTTGTTCTACACGAGAAGGAAACATCACAAAATCACAAAAACAATTGAAGTTAGTTCTCGTTCCCACACTGATTGATTGTTGGCTGAGTCACGTACATATTCAATTGTTCTGGTGAAGGTCGAAGCTCAGTAGGCATTGAATCGTAGTATACCTTGATGGCACGATCAATCTCCTCGCATACTTGCGCTAAACGTTCAAGCTTTGCGTACGGAGATCGCTCAGATGCCAAATTGTTTAAGTGATAAACGGCAGCATTATAGTGGCGTAAAGTCAATAAACGACGCTCATTCCCGTCAGCAACAAACTGTTCTTGTTGCTGTGCATCAGACCGACTCCCATCTAGTCGGAATAGTGGCTTCACTTCGAAATATGCTAGAGGGTTTGTACGCGCTAGTTCAGCTACGTCGTCCAGAATCGAGTCTTCGCGCTGGAAGGAGGCAACGTACAGCCCGTGCAACACAGGCTGTAGAGCATCGAACAGCGCAGCGACTACACTACGCTGAACAGCGTTGTGCTGTGCCTCACTACTCTGTAAAAATGGGTACTTAAACACCACAACTTGTGTCAAAACGGCCGCAAATTGGGTCACATCCGCGGCAACAAGCGGCAACGTGCATGTCACTCGATCTACTGAAACATCCCTGCGTACTCCAAACCCTTGTCCTGCGTACTGAAGAAAGTCCGCATAGCAACTTCGAAAAATATTTGCAAAAGCCTGCAACAAGTGCCGCAACGAATGATGCATCGACGTCTTTGCCACCGTTTGGCCATTGCGATGCGGGGCAGTCAGCACCAGAATCCCATGCAGATGCCTCTGGATCAAGGCTTCTCTCTCGCTCTCCCGTTCACCTCGAAGATACTTCATCTGCTCTGCAAACTTTTCGTCCGCAGCACGTCCAAGATAGTCCCGCTCCTCTATCGGCAACTCCTCCAGCAGCCTCGTCCACTTGACGTTTCCGTCTACATGTTGAAGTTCGAGTGCACTCTGTTCCACCACAAAATTCAGTTTTGCTGTCATCAGCTGCGTCCCCGGGCTCCTGCGTCCCTCGTTTTCGTCTCCATTGTTGCCACAGGCCCCGATTTGGGCTGTGGTACGTTGCTGTAGCTGCTCGAACTGCAATACCAGGTTGTCCAGACGTCTGGCAATGGCGTCTTGTCTCGTGGCTGTAAGCTCTTTCACCACTGCATTACGTCTCTCCAGTCGCGCATCCTCCTCTGCTAGAAACTTCAGTTGTTCAGGGGTAAGCTGCTCCTTGTTGAAGCTCGACGATTCGGGGCTGGGCGAAATCTGCTTCCGTTCCTGTTGAAGAGTAGCATTCTGCGTTGCCTGGGCCAACAACTGCCCGATCACTTGCTGTGCCAATGTGCTGGTGGGAGCAGAAGATGAGGGTGCGTTTAGAAATGCTGGCGGGGGAGAGGAAGCGGTGCTGGAGGGCAGGTAGGCCAGCTCATTGCTCGCCAAGTCCATGAGCTCTTCCTCCAGATCGAGGTCCATCTTGATCATGATTATTATTGGCTGAAACTAGAATAAATCCGTTGCGAGTTCCATTACCTCGATTGTGGCGACGGTTAAAGTGGATGTCATGGCGAGCTCGAAGCCTCGCGGACGGCCACCGGCCGACGGGAACTTTATCATGTGGACGGAGCCTCTGGTCGAGAGCTTACTGAAGTTAAGGTTTGAGAAGTACGCGGAGCCGATGGCGGCTGCAAGAGGCACCAAATCGCTCCGAGTAGCGTGGGCCGAGCTGGCGAAGGAGCTTACGCTGCAGAACAACGGGGACGTGGTGTCCGTGGAACAGTGTCGCAACAAGGTACTACATAGTAACTGAGTGGGTAGAAGCAGCATTATGCTCTATGTATACACCCTGTGTAATGGTATACATTGAATGTGAGGTTAACCTATCTTTCGTTGTCAATCTGATGCTCAGCTCAAGGCGCTGAGAAACAAATGGTTGGCTTACCACTCTGGAATGGTCTCGGAACCAGTTTGTCTTGCACTCATGGACGCTTGTTGGGGTAGTGAGAAAGATGACGGAGTACCGGCCAAGTCGCAAAGTCACTCGAGACCGAGCCCAGAGCATCGTAAACAAGCCAAGAAGCCACGAGTGGGGCCTTCTTCACCTTCAGGTGCTGAAGGGGGATCGCTGGTTCCTATCGCGCCAGCTCCAGCTCCGGCCTCACTTGTGGATGCAGCTTCGGATGTGTCGACTTCTGCTCCACCTTCTGTTGAGGCGAAAGGACCCACGTCGACAGCAGCTTTGCGTTCGCGTCCGCAGACTGGTGCCCCAACGTCTAAAGCGGCCCCGGTACTAGACGGAGGAAAACAAGCCATCCCGCAAGATATTACGTCGGCTTCCACTCAAACTGCTCGACTCAATAAGCCTCCCCTGGAATGCACAGGCATGGCGAAAGTAGAGAAACTAATCAACGACGGCTTCGCTAAGGTGCTAGAAGGTCAAGCGAAACAGTTAAAGCTGGCGGAGGAGCAAAATCAGCTGCTGGCGCAGATTTTTGAGACGTTGCAGCGCAGCAAACACCAGGACAACACGAGTGACCTGGAGTAGTTGGTGATGAGCTGACATGGAGTACAAGTAATTTGAATGGATCAAATATTTTACCACCATTATTTTTTTACTTTCTGAAAAATTGTACTAAAATATCGTTCAGTTGGCATTTTCAAAAGGTCGCGACTCGCTGTCACTGGATCGATGTTGTGGAGCGCAGTTCGGTGGCGATCCAGGAATTTGCTGTTCGTCTTGTGGTGGTGTCTACTACGATTTAGTGTGATTTCCAATGTAATAGCCATTATTTCGTAGAGGTGTTAGTCGCCGGATCACTTATATTGTTCGTTTATATTCGCTAGACCACTTCCACGGTATATTTCCGCCAGCAGAGCGGCGGCTCTATCTTCGCTATCGACGGACGAGATGGCAGCGAGACAGAAATTGAAGGCTCCAGTGAATACGCGCGCTTTGTGGGGCTAGCGATTCATCGGCGATATGGACGTATTTTCTGGAGTGATGGTAGATCTGTCAAAAGTGCAAACTTGTCTGACGGATCCGATGTAAATGTTGTTATCGGAGCCCTGGCAAGAGTTGTGTGGATAGGATCCAACTTTGGCCAAACGCAAGTGAGCATTCACGATCTAACAGTGAAAGGCACCAGATGTAATAGTGTCGTTTCGTGGTCATCGGAACGCGTAGAGTGTATTGTCGGACTACCTCTGCGCTTCTCACAATCGCAAGTTCCTTTTGTGAGCGAAGACGACTGCAGTATCCAGACAAACCATGGATCTATGACCGGAATTGCACTGAATTATAACGAATTATTTGCGTCGGGCACTTCTTCGCCAATTGTTGAGCGGATTGATATTTACTCAAATGCTATTCTTCCACATTCTCTGGTCATCGATGATCGCGAAGGAGAGGATTGGCTCTACTGGTCAAACTCAGAAGATGGCACTTTATACCGCAGTAGTTTGCGGTCAAACGTCATTGAGGTGTTGCAACGGCGCTGCTGGAGCGTCCGTGGGTTAGCGTTGAATATTTTTCAGGACTCTGGAAAGGAAAGAATTTTCCTCTTGTACTCACTTGAATCCAAGGGTACAATATCACAAATCGAGTTGCCTCCTTCGAACACGTCGATTACCTCTCCACCACTAGCACAAGAACTTCTAAGCGGTTTGAGGTCTCCGAGGGGCTTAGCTATGGACTCTATGAGCCATATTCTGTTTTTTACCGAGAAGACTGGTCGGATTTTCCAGGCACGTCTTGGCAAGACCATGACAGCTCGTCAAAAAGCTAATATATTTCCCGATGACGCGTCCATTGTATCACCTGGAGTGGATATACGTCGAATCATTACGCTGCCAACAATGACGAGGCTCGATGGTATTGGGGTCGATTCCAAGTAAGCTGGCTTTGGTGGAATGGTGTTGAAGTTAAACTTACATTCGTTCTTTTTGCAGATATCTCTATTGGTGCGAAACCAACACGAATATTGTTGCGAGAGCTCTGCGACGAGACTTTCGGCGTCAGGTTGTAGTCGGTGGTACTGCAAATTCTTTGTTGAGGTCAGTAGGCCAAGTTTTCTTATCTAGATTTCTATTATGACCTTACTTTCTTGCTCCAGTTGGCCCCGTGGCATCGTTCTTGGCTCCGATGACGGCGACATCAACGAACTCAAGAAAAGTTACTACTACTCTGAATACACAGGTCGGGTGTCGAAAGGTGCATCACATATTACAATTGTCAACGAGCTCAATGCTCCAGCAATGCAGTATCTGGACAACGTCGTGCAGCAGTCATCTATTCAAGGGAGCGGAGATCACATCTATTTCTACGCTTTGGAGTAGACGACATGCAAGCGCCAACTTGTCCAAGTTAAAACTGGCGATCTACTGTAGATGGTGACAACTAATTATGGATGCACGTGAAATATACGCACAAGGATACTGTTGCTCAGATCGACGAGATGAGAGAAATCATTTTTTATTTTTAAAAAGTCTTAAATGGTGTGTGCACGGCGTAATGGTATGTATGGCTATAAAGCTCGAGCGTGTGCTGCTTCATCTGCATTGTCCACTCACTCTTCAACTTACTACGCAACAAGCAACCCAAGCACCAAAAATGGTGTCTCTCTCCAACACTTCGCTGGCAATTCTGTTCGCTATCAGTGCCACCTCGACGAATGCCGACAATCTCCGCCACGAATCGCGCAACTTACAGGCGTACTCAACGACGACCCAGTACGCCGCTTCCATGTTGGCAAGCGTGAACGCACAACGTGCTGCCCAGGGACTCCCTGCACTCTGTTTGAACACTAAACTGATGGCGGCGTCAATGCGTCACTCGACTGACATGGCCGCGAAGAATTTTGTAAGCCACACGGGCTCTGACGGGTCTACCATGTCGATGCGCGTCACTGCTGCAGGCTACAAATGGACCAGAGTGGCTGAAAACGTTGCTGCCGGTCAATCGAGCATCGCTGCTGTCATGACTTCCTGGATGAATTCAGCCGGTCACCGCGCCAACATTTTGGGCGACTACACCATGTTCGGCACTGCGTATGCCTACAACAGTGGCAGCACGTACAAGCATTACTGGACGCAAAACTTTGGCAAGGGCAGCACCGAGTCGTGCAGCTACGAAGATGTCGAGTACGAGGATGCACCGACTCCAACTCTAAATTCGACGACGGATTCGGATAACTCGACGGTGGTGCTTCCCAACGAGCCAGCCCCGGAGGACAGCAAGACCGCTCTGTAAAGCACTACGAGAGGTACTAAAGTGAGCAGACAAGAAAGAGAAGAGTAGGTATGAGCTGCTACGCTAACAATTATTAACAGTAAAGCTAAGATTTACTTTAAAAACCCAGTATCTTCAATCTAGCTCCAAAACACCAGCAACCCGTGCAAGTTACTTCTCTCACCGTCCTTCCCTCGTCATGCCGCTGCTGACGTATAGAATCGGAGTCACTTGTCGAGTTCTCGTCCGTTGATTCGGGGCTGAAATCATGACCAGTGCTTGTCCAGGGGATTTCATTCTCGTCGTCGATATCGTCGTTGCCTCCTCTTCCGAACATTTGCGACCACGAGTGTTTGTACCTACTTGACCGGTTGAACGCGTACGCCGCACCGAAGACAGTGTAGTTGCCCAGGATGTTGCGACGGTGGCCAGGAGACTTCATCCACGACTCCACCACTGCATTCACATCCTTTTGACCGGCAGCCACATTCTCAGCGACTGCCCCACCGCTGAAACCAGCGTCAGCAGCTCGTTGCGTCATTTTAGAGCCATCGGATCCCGTGTGACCCATGAAGTTATTCGCTGCCATGTCGTCAGCCTGACGCTGAGCTGCCGCCTGCAGCTTACTGTGCATTCGCAGAGGTGGGAGATTCTTTGTTGCACGCTCTTGATTCACACGCTCGAGCATGGAAGCGAGGTAGTTATTTGGTTGCATCTTTGGCTGGAGTGTGCAGTGCACTAGGGCGGAATTGAAGGAATGCGCGAATGAAAAAGAGATGATAAGGAGCTCTTTCTCATCGAGGCCTGTCTGATGTGACACACTATGGTCGGAATGAAATTTGGGTGCTGGGAGTAGTAATGTCACTTGTGCTGGTCACTACAGGAGCGCAATATACTAAGTACCTCCAGCACATGAAAGGCAGTCGCTAGACAGGCACAAACTTGGACAGCCTAAGAGAATATGACAGCGCTGCACCGGATGAAAGTTTCCTTTCTCCTCAACACACGGAGATAACCACCTCATGTAACAAAACTTGTCATTTTTATTCCTTAGACTTTCCCTGCTGTCGCTTGGCTTCCTGCGCCTCGAAGCGCTCCTTGGTTTCCGGTTTCATAACCGACTTAATGCCGTCTACCAACGTCTTGTTCTTGTCTAACTCGCTCTGCATTAACAAAAGCTCTCAGTCATTTTGATCCACACAGAGACATCCAATTATTATATTGCGACGCACCAAGTAGCAGCGCGTGTAGGCCTCGTACTCCTTCTGGCAGCCCACTTTACCGTTTGCCTTCTGCTGCAGGAACACCTCCGTGTACCACTTGTCGAAGCACTGCTCGTACGCCGCCTTCTTCTGCCAGCAACCAGGCTCCTCTTCCTGATCCGCCATCTCAATTATGAACGGCTGCAATCATATCGCACTCAATGACTTGAACTATGTATGTCGGAATAAAAAACCTTCGATCGGAATTAGTGCTCTTCAAGACGACTGCAATTTTAAGAGCAACACATACAAATGCCGCCCATGATCTACCGGGCGTGCTGGAACTGCATTTGATACTGCTGGGACGTCTGGAACGGGTGCTCCAGCTGCTCTCGCTGAAGTTGAGCCGGCAACGACTGATACGAGCTAGCAATAGACGGCGTGGGGCCACCCGGCACCATGATATGGTGGCCGCTAAGGAAGCACTGATCGCACACCCGCTGCGGCTCGGACAGCGCGAACTTGGGCAGCGACACGCGGTTCGTCGAGTGCTGGCTGCACACGCTTTGGCCGCAATTCCGGCAATGGTGACGACGCTTCACCAGCGTAAAACCACATGCGCATACGTGGCACATACGCGACTGTTTCCAGCGGGGAGGGAAAGCCGTCTTGCTGCGAGGACCAGCGCCCATACTCCTCGAGCTCATATTGACGTTGGCGTGGCTACTTTTCACGTCTTCATTGATCTGAAAACCAGACATCATCGACATATCGGGCGGCCCCTTGGACGGGTCGAACAGGCCCAGCGGCACCGAATCGTCCGCCGTCGCGATGGAGATCAAGTCGTTCTCTCTCTCGCGAAGACGCTGCTCGGTCAGCAACGACTTGACGTGCGGGTCGCTCCTTGATAGAGTGTTGCCGCGGTCACGGTCTGGACCAGCCATGAAGCCGCCGTACATACTAGCGCCGCCATAGTTTCCATGCGGTGGATCGTAGAACGAGTCCTGGTCCGACACGCTCCTCTCTAGTCGTCCCTTGCGCTGGAACGGCTGCGGCTGGTAGTGTCGATGGTGCTGCTGGTACTCGAGTTCGTCCTCGTCCACTTCGTCGTCGGATTCACCGTAGTACGTGTGGTTCTGGTGGGGCTGGTAGTCTGAGCCGTCGCGGATATCGTCGTGTAGGATGGTGTGGTTGTTGTACGGCAGCTGGTAGTCAATAGTCTCGGTGGTAGGCTCCCCGTCGTCCTTGCCCATGAGATCGTGCTGATGCAACTCGCCTCCGTCGTCTTCCGGGCGGTGACTGCCGTGTGCGGCGGCGCGCAGCACCTCGAGAATACGCTCGCCACACTCGGCCTGAATGGCTAGATCGATGGGTAGATGGCCGGCATCGTTGCGCATATGCACGGCGTACGGGTTGGCGAAGACCACCTTGACCACGATATCGGTAGGCGCGTTCTGATGCAAACAGACCCAGTGCAGCACCGTCATTCCGCTGGCATCCGTGCGCTGCGCCACCTGGCGGTTCTCGCGCATGACCGTCAGTAGCGAGTCCCAGTCGCCATTGATCGCGTGCAGGAAGTCCCCGTCCATTGTGGGGCTGGAAGAGGAAGACTTGGGTAAGGCGGAGGAGCGCTCGCCTTGGCTTGGGACGTCCGTAGAGAGAGAGCTCTCCGACGTTGGGGGCAATGGTGCTCGTGACTGACTTTGTCTGTCTAGCCGCGCAGTCGGCCAATCTGAAAATCGTAGTGCAAATTTTGGACTGGGAGAAAGGTGCCCCGAAGGTCGCTCCAACAAGGCGCCTTTCTCCGCATAGCCTTCCATCGGGCCGTTTTGGCTCGGCGTTTATTCAGGGGACCCGATTAAGTACGACAAAAAGTAGTCCTTTCTCAACACAGAGTGCGGGCGAGCGTGCCAGTGGTCGAGGCGGCGGGGCAAACGTGAATATTCGGTTTTTGTCTTGGAGTTTGTATGCCCTGGTCAAATATTTGCACTCAGCCGGTCGAAGTAGCCAATCATGCGCTTTGCCAGCGTCGTGCGTTTGAGCGTGCGTAATGCCCAGCGTCCAATCGCTGTCGCCTGTTTTTGACTAATCGAAGGTATTGAGAGTAGGGAGTCTGTAGAGAAAAAGTACCCAATACCTATTTCTACTTTTTCAAAGCACCTACTCCCAAAAAGTTCAAATTCTACATAGCGGACGCAAGTAGACTAGCAACTGCATCACCACGCTGATAGGAAGCCTACAATGCTATTGTGCTTGAATTTACCATGTTAGTGATGGTACGATCCCTTTACCTTTTGCCTTAAAAAAGAAATATAGCTTCAACCAGATCGGAACGGACCAAACCCAGCCGCCTGAGTAGATAGCTGAGGTTATCAAACCATTTGACGAGCTCTGCGTGCTCGTAATACTGCGTATTCTAACGCAGTGCAACAGAGCATGAATTGAGAGCTGACGAACAGATGTTGTGTGCTACGAAGGCATCGCTCTTTACCTTCGTCTGGCTGTTTAAGGGTTTACTTTGCGTACGCTACTGGTTCAATGTGTCGAACGCTTAATATCATGGTGGGACGAGCTATAATACGTCGATCAAGTATATGATCAGGCTCGTGGTCATCCATTGTTTGCTATCAAAGATTGATGATACAGTTGCCCTCGACACACCTCATTAACTTGCGGAAGAAGCATCAGAAAGTAGCTGAGCGGTATCCCAAGGACAGTATCTGTCATCTTACTGCTGCTTGTCATAGTAAAGTCGATCTTGGCCGTTGAAAATAAGAGTAAATAAGAGTGCTGGTCACCATTGACCAGCACTCTCCAGTTCCACCCAGACTTACACTGTAAAGCTCTAAATCGATCTTTTGGACGAGACTACGAGCTCGAAACGATGGGGTCTTCGCAGTCATCAGGGTTCGTATTTCTGACTTGATAATTGTATGGAACTGGAATGCCTAATTTGAATTTGACCCAAGATTAATTGATGCAATCCCGATTTGGGGGGTCGCCCAAAATACCTTTCCAGGCTTGAAAGAGGCAGGTAGGCATTTTTGCCGAATCTCATAGTTTTTGGCGGACTGTCCGCCCGGCACCGCTCCACTCCCGCTCTATGGTCGAACTGGTGAAGCTTTGCTTTGTGTACGGCGGTGCGGGTGTTTGCAATGCGCTACAGTACCGGCCAACTTTGCGGCCAAGGGAGCAGATGCTCTCTAGTCGTTGGAGCGTGAGGGTACTGTAACCTGCTGCCATGAAATGCCTCCCCGAAAACCGGATACCCTAGCAGATCAACGCGAAATAGTAGTGGACTTGACACTTGTAGTATCAGTGAAAAGTGGCAACGCAGGCGTTTTAGATAGAGGACTTTCGTCCTGCACCTTGTTGCGGTAGCTTGGGTGCATTTATACCAACAGAACTGTTGCCTATGTGCATGTGGCTCTACGACAGCATGTTGTTTGAAACAGCCTGTACCGTTTGATCTGTAGCGTGACGATACATCAAGCTATCCACGTACTTGTACCATTGATGCACCTCAAAAGTGAACGTACCATTTCGACGCAACTTGCATTGATTGATCAGGCAAGAGCATCTAGAACCTTCTCCACAGAGTGCTCCAACTGAAGCAGCGCTCGCTATTGCAAGGTCGCATTTCATCACGTTCAAATCCAGCGCCACTTTCTAGAGTTGTTTTTTTTCCGCATGGGATTGGTGCTATTATAACCCTCTGGCAACGATTCAAGCCGCGTGCTTTGAATGACTTGGCCCTCTTCTTAAACTTTGGAGGTGGCCATACGTCTAGTCGCATTAGTTTCACAAACTTTCCGCTAGCCTCAGCGCTGTATACACACCCCAGCGCACCTGACTGTCGGAAATATATTCCATCACTTTTCAGTTGTCTAAAGCCTCTCCCTGTTGTATAGAGACCTCATTGTTCACTTTCTCCTCTTCGTCCTCCACGATATCCTCGACAGGCTTTGGATTCTTCAGTTGTTCCGTCACAACCTTCACCTGATCTTCCAGCTCGTGAGCCAGCGTCTCCAACTGGGCGCCATTACCTGCAAGCTGCAACGTCATCTCGACGTCTTCTCGCTCAGCCATGGCAGCTTCCCACGCGCGGGTTATACTCCGCTCCACATCTTCCAGCTCGTCCTGCTCTCTCAGCATGGCTGAAAACGCCACTTTCTGGACATCCATCTCTTCTTGAAACTTCGTCTTCTTCTCCAACACCTCCGCTTTACGAGCGCCAAACTCCGTCAGATGCTTCTCCTTAGTCGCTTCCCATTCACTGAGTCGCTGCAGCGTGGCTGATAACTCCGAGCGACGCTGGGCTTCGATCTGGATCAAACTCAAACCTTCTTCCAACAGCTTCACCTTAGTCTGCAGCTCACGCTCACTACGTCGAACCTTCTTGGCCTCTGGAGTCAGGGGCTCCTGGATAGAGACGTGGTAGTCCAGTGTCTTCTCATTTAGCCAAGAGAACGAATTATCCCACTCGAACACCAGCGTCGTGTTGTCCTGTCGCACTTGGAACACTCCAGACATCTCGTTCATCCTCTCGGGCGACACAACCTCCGCTTCAGTGGACGTATCCGTCATTGCAGACAACTTGAACGAGACATCAGCAGCTTCTTCCTTTACTGAAAAGTTCCAGACCACACGCCATCCGCTCTTCTCACAGATTACCGGTAGCTGGAAACTCGCGCCGGCCTTGATCACCACGCCGCTCCGCATCACCAGACACTCCTCAAACTCCGGCTCGTTAGTTTTCCCCAATGCACTCTCGGCTCCGTCGGACAGGAGCGTAGTGCGATGCTCGTCACGGAAGTCACAAACGTCACGGAAGGCACTTGAATGCTCCTCCAATCGCTTCTGTAGCTCTTCCACGATGCTCGCTACTTGTTTCTCGAAGCTTGATACAAGTGTCTGTCGTCGTTGAAGCTGCATCGCTCGCTCCTTCTCGGACTGGATGTGTTTGCGCGTAGCTTGCAGTTCATCGAGTTCTTCTTTCTCGGCTTCGAGCTCCAGCGCTTTCTTCTCCTCACGAAGTGCCTGCAGCTCCTCTTGCAGCTCGAGAACCTGCACGCGCAGCTTCTTCAGTGCTTCATCCTTGGCCAGTAGCATTGCTGATGTCTTGGAGACACCAGACGAATCCTCACCGCTCTCTGGCTCGGACGACGGAGCAAGAATTTCAATTTGATCACGTGCAGCCTGCAGCTCTTCTCGACAAGCGTCCAGAGCTCTCGACAGTAAAGAGATCTCCGTATTGGCGTCCTGTAGCTCGGTTTTCAGTCGTTGAACGTCGTCTGACAGCTCCTGTGACTGCTCTCCACTTACTCGAGTCGTCTGATCTCCCTTTGTCGATGAGGAGGTCACTGCCGCAACGTTCCCGTTGCTCTTCCGTGCTTCCAGCACGGTATTCAGACGACATACTTCTTCCGTCGCAGCAGCCGACTCCATCTTCCAGCGGTTGCTCTCTTCCTCCAGTGTAAAGACCTTCTCGGCGTTTGCCGCTTTGGTCGTTGCAAAGCGCTCTTGTAGGCCAATTAACTCTTCTCGGGCATCATCAAGCTGCTTCCTCAACGTCATTTCTGATGATCTCAAAGCGGATAACTCCTTTTCGAGTCCAGCTGTGGGCCCAGCGAGCTGTGGCACGGGGACGGGAGTGCTGTTCGTCTCAGCCGTCGACACTGTCTTGGACTGCTCCTTCAGCTTTAGCTCCAACGACTCGATCAGTCTCTGTCGCTTTTCATTCTCCGCTTTACTTGTTTCCAGCGCATCGTGCACCTTCTGCAAGTCCTGCTTAGCAGTTTGTACTGCAGCTGTGGCAGTGTTAAGACGCGCTTGGAAAGCTACCTGCTCCGCTTCCTTGATGCGCTCACACTCCTCTTCGATCTGCAGTTTCTCCCTTTCTAACTCCTGGATTCTAAGAGTTAACTCTTGAACCATTGCATCAGCCTGCTCTTTCTCCGACAATAACCGCTGTGTTTCTTCTTCCAAGTCAGCAATAACACGGTTTTTCTCCATCGCAAATTGGTCAAAGTCTGCCTGCATCATCTCCTGTGTACGCTGCACCTCCTGTAGTCGAGCTTCACTCTCTTTACGAGCAGCTTCTGCCTGTTCTCGTAGCTCGTCGCTCTCCTTAATTTGCATCAACAATGCCTCGTTCTCCTTCCGCATACCGTTCAGCAGTTCTGCGCGCTTCTCCATCTTCTTCAGTGCAGTATGTGACCGGACACGGTACCGTTCAAAGTCATTTCGAACGCTAGCCAATTGATTCTGCAACTCTGTGACTTCTTCTTGCTGCGCTGCCTGCTGTTGCTGTTCCTGAAGACTTGCAGAATGGCTTTGAGCCTTTAACTCTTCTGCAGCCTTGACCATTTCCTCCTTCTCAGCTCGTAACGCTGTCAACTGTTCTCTAAGCGACTCGACCAGTGCCTCGAGATCGCGCATTGAATCCTCCGCAGTCACTAAACATTCTTGTGCTTGCAGCTTCTCGTGCTCAAGTTCATTAATCTTGACCGAGTCCTTCTCGGTACGATCGCGAAGCTGCTCAAGATCGTTCAGCCAACGCACAGTATTAGCCTTCGCAACGGCCAAAAGTTCGTCAACATCTTCGCTAGAAGTCAACTTCTCCACAACGTCTTCTTCTCCTTCCTTCGCGAACAAGCGCCAATCCGATGTCGTCACGAATTCGTTAACAACCAGTTTCTGCTTATCACATTCGCTACGGATCAATTTCAATTGCTCCTTCGTCACACGCAGTTGGTCTTGAGCAGAAACCAGATCGGTCAACAATGGGGCAAGCTCACTGCATAGATCTGTTGTTTCTTGAGATTGCCACACTTTATCAACGAATCCACCGGCATCTATGTCATCTCTAGAGCTCAAGATGGACATCACCTCCCGCAGTTCAGTAGTCAGCAGTGTCAGGTGCTCTTCAACCTCTCCACTTTTCACACCCTGTGCGTTTTGAAGAGCCTCCAGATCATTCTTCAGTTGAGCGCATTCGCGAATCCGATCGTCTAATTCAGAGCGAGCGGCACGAAGATCAGCTTCACAGCGATCAAGAGAATCTGCTGTCTCGCTCTGCTCAGTTGTTTTAGCTGCTAGTGCCTTGTTCAGCTCCTCCACTTTAGCTGACAACGCCTCGATTCTACTTTCGCTGTCGGCAACACGCTGAGCCAAGCGCGTCGTTTCTTCTCCGTGTGTGTTTTGCAACTCATTCATCACCTGTTCCTTCTCTCTGGTATGACGCTCAATTCGCTCCTGAAGCTCAGCTTGCTCGTTCTCCAGTGATGCAATAGTGTTTAGCTGAGCCTCACAACGCTCCTCATACTCGATAAGTTGTGCTTGAAGGGTGTCAAGATCGGTCTGCACGCTTTGCGTTTCCTGTTCGCGTGTTCGCTGTAATTCATCAACTGCCTGACCCTTGTCCTTTCTAAGTTGTGCAATCTGCTCCTCGTACTCAGTTTGCTCCCATTCCAATTCCTTGATTGTATCTTGCTGAGCTTGGTCACGCTCTTCGTACTCTGCAATCCGAGAGTACAACTCGTCAAGAGCGGCCTGCATCTCCGACACCTTATTCAAGTCACTTGGACCATCGTGGCCATTAGAACTTGCCTCGGCCTGATCTTCTGCAGTATCCACTGGGTGTAACTCGTCTTCTAGTTCCAACACAGGCACATCGGTGTTCTCCCCATTGTCACCAACATTTCCATCTTCATCGACATCAGACTCCACTTGATCCCCTAAAACGCTCTCTGCATCGCTCTTTGCAGTTTCTTGCTGATGATTAAGCTTCTCAATGTTTTCTGCATGTTCCCTTACGAGATGATCCTTCTCAATGGTCAAGGCTCCGACCTCGGCCCGCAGCTGTTGCAGTTCGTCACTTGACGCAGTATTCGCAGAGAGATCAGCTGCTGTGTTTTCAAGCTGGTTACGAAGCTCTACGATTTCAGCCAAGTGCGCCTCCCGAATTTCCTCAAGCTCGCTAGCATGGACTTCTGTCAGTTGATCCTTCTCCGAGATCAAGTGCTTCACCTCATCCCGTAGCGACTGTAGTTCTTCCACGTTAGACGCATCACTTTCATCATTATTTGCGGAAGAAGCTGTTGCACTTTCAATTTGACTGCGAAGCTCCTCGATCTCGTCAGTATATGCCTTCCGAAGTTCTTCAACTTCGTCCGAGTGAGACTTAGCAAGCGCTTCCCTCTCTGAAGTCAAGCTATCGACCTTGGCTTGTAGCAACACAAGTTCTTCATCATTGGCTGCACTCTCTTCTTTTGTCTTCGTAGACAGTTCGTTCTCAGCACTTGTAAGCCTTTGATGCAGCCCTTCAACCTCTAATGAGTGCGTCCGCTTAAGCTCGTCCACTTCATCTACATGCAATTTTACAAGATCTTCCTTCTCGGACGTCAACGCATCAATCTTGGCCTGGAGTTCCTCCTCGTTAGAGTCTGTATTCTCATCCTTTGCAGCAACAGAAGCCATTGCATTCTCCAGTTTAAGACGCAGCTCTTCAACTTCATCCTCGTGCTTTCTCACCAGTTCTTCCTTCTCAGAAGCCAAACTCTCCACCTGGGTCCTCAATTCCTCCAGTTCCTCAGCACCGGATCTCTCACTCTCATCTGCCTTAGTAGAGAGAGAATCGATCGCGCTCTCCAATTGTCCCTGAAGCTCTTCGACCTCAGCAGCATGAGCTCTCACCAGCCTCTCCTTCTCTGATGCCATACTCTCAATTTCAACTCTTAACGCCTGCATGTCCTCTGCCTGTATCGCTGCGCTCTGCGTCATACGCTGGATCTCCTGGTCGCTCTCACGTACCAGCTGCTCCATAGCTTGACACGCTTCTCGCTGTTGTTCCAGCAACATTGCGTCCTCTTCCTGTCTCAGTCTTTCCTTCTCCTTCATCCTCTCCATCTCCTGTTTCAACTCTTCCAGCGCCAAACTCTCCTGCTTCAGCATCTCCTGAGCTTCCACTGCATCTTCTCTCGCAGTCTCCAGCTCTTTGTCTCCCTGTTTCAATCTCTCTAACTCCTTTCTTACCTCATCTTCTGTATACCCTGGACAAATCTCCATAACTACAGCTTCAAGCTGCACAAGGCGTCGGATTCGGGCAATATGCCGTCCATGAGGCGTCTCCAGCTCCGTGTCGTCCTCCCTGTCATTTTTCTTACCATCTAAAACGCCCTCTAGTCTCTCCCAGCGTCCCAGAAGCCCGAAGATCGTCTGCTGTTGCTCCATAAGTCGCTTGCGGCCCTGCTCCACGGTCGACGCTGACTGTTGCAGCGCCGCCGCCGCGTTTTCGTTGCCCTTGGCCTTCATATCGTCCGACTTCTTGCCCAGCATCGCCTCTACTCTCGCCAGTCGTGTCACCAGCTCCTGGACGTGCGCGTCGGCGTCGTCCTCCTCGTCGTCGCCTTCGCCGCGTCGACGCGCCAGAAGATGCCGCTGCTCCGCGATGAGCGCCATGGCCTGGCGCAGATCAGACACAGAGGAAGCCAAGGCACGCGCAGCGCTCTCGTTGCCCTTGCGTTGCGCATCCTGCGCCTTCTGTTGCAGCTTCTCCGCCACGAGGTGTACCCGCGCGCTGACGTCGGCTGCCATGATGCGATTTCAGAATGTGTGTAAAAGACACCTCATTTCAAGTTGCTATTTGGCAACGAACAACCTCGAACTTGCAACGCAAATGTATCCATTTTAGTTTTGGACAAATTGAAGCCTTCGATACAGGCATTGGCACTGCAGCTCACGACGAGAATCATCATTCCTGCTGCCGATAAGATGCCTGGTCCGACTCCATCTATGTTGTAGTTGCACATGTCCGAGTGGATCAAATTCGCTCAGCTCGATTCGGATGGAGAGTTTGACGAATCCTGAGCTTTGACTCGTTCAGGAATATATGCCAGATCTCCCTACGCTTTTATTCATTTAAGAATTACCATTGCTCGAACTGCCTGATACTGCCATGACTCCAATGCAAACAGAGTGTACCGAGAGCTCCGGGAGCGCGATCAGGCCAGACAAAAGGACCTGTTGTGAACCAGTGGTTGTGTTTGAGGAGATCACAGCGGAGGACTTTTGCGTGTGGCTAGAAGAGCAGAACCCCGTTGGAACTAAGAGCCGCTGATCAAAGGACACAGATCGCGTCGTTCTCTACGAACTCCCGACGGAAGTTCACTCGAGCTCTATAAGTCAGATGATCGATTGGATTCACATGTTAGCCCCACTGGAGTGCCATCGCTGGAACTTAGGATGAAAGTCAAGTGGGGCGTACACTGGAGACCGATGGACACTATTACAGGACGGATGGAGCTTCAACCCGGGGCTAGAGGGGCAGGCACATTTTCTACTCTGGTTCTGGCAGTGACAATCGGAGAAGAGTGTGGACATCGAAGAAAAAAAAAAGCTGGTAGATTTCACGAAGAACCCAACAGTTTGCCATTGGAGTCGAGATTCGATACAGAAACCAAAACACCAACAAGAATACAAAGTGCAGCATCCACATCCTCCGGTGTGGTGACAACGAGGTTACTGCAGAACGCATTTACTTCGGCCAAGACCTTCCTGCCCTGGATTCTCTACCTTCGTTCAGTCTTTAGAAGCTCTACTACGGTACTGACTCGCGCACGGGGCTTCTTGGTCACGAGCATCCACGAGATCTTCATCGATCTGCTGCTACTGGATAAGCTTATTACCAAATATTTGCCGAGCTGCACGTCCTAAGCTTGTTATGATCTTCGGTGGATGAATTCCTCATCGCTGCATATATTAACCGCTTTCACATTAATAAGAAAACAACTAAAAAAAATGGATTGACATTCGCGTCAGACACTCATTTGATCACTCGTCCTTGATAGCATCGAAAGCCTGAATGATGTTGTCCGGGGCTTGCACGAGCTCGATGAGCACGCCTTCGCCCGATAAAGGAGTGGCCTCGTTGCCCTTGGGGTGGATGAAAGCCACGTTGAAGCCCGCCGCACCCTTGCGGATGCCCCCAGGTGTGAAGCGTACGCCTTTCTTCGTCAACTCGTCCACGCATGCATGTAGATCATCAATCCACAGTCCAATGTGGTTGAGAGGCGGCACGTGAACCTTTGGCGCCTTGTTGGGGTCGATGGGCTGCATGATGTCCACCTCGACTGCGAATGGTTCCTTGCCGCATTGCAGAATGTCCTCGTCCACGTTCTCCTTCTCGCTGCGGAAGGACCCTTTCTTCGTCAGTCCGAAGGTATCCACCCAAAGAGCACTCAGCGCGCTCTTACTGGCGCCACCCACAGCAATTTGCTGCAGTCCCAGCACGCGGAATGTCGATTTCTGGGCAACCAAAAGGTGACTTGACGTTGATGTGTGTACTTTTAAATGCGTTAAAACCTACATGAACGGTCTGTTGGTACCGCGACGCTATAGTGCGCAGCACGAGCGGCTTCTTGGTCGTCCACATGGCCAGCTAGCTAGGTGAGAAAGAGCTCTTCGACAAGGTCGTTTGTGTGCGACTTGTGTACCAAGAACTTCAACAATGTTTTGTCTTTGTACTTGATTAATGTGGTGGACGTAATGTTTGTGTGGTGCACACCAATACTCAAACGCCGAGGAAGAAACTAGTCTTCCCTTCCAGATGGTGTCTCCACCGCGTTCTTCGTTGCTCACCGCCGACAACAGTGCAGCAAACGGACGCGCGTCAACAAGCAGAAGCGCAGACGCATCGAACGGTGCATCCTCCGCCTCCAGCAACGGCGCGGGATCCAAGCGACAGCTCGCGGAGCCCGAGGTGATTGCCTTGAACGAGCTGCTGGACACGTTCCCAAGCGAGATGGACGACACGCAGCAGGAGAGTGGCGCAGAGTCGCATAAGCGTCGGAAGGTTGAGGCAGCGGCTAGCTATCAGCGCCCCAAAACCGACGAGCGCGAGGCCCAGCGTAGCCCAAAGACGCAGAACGATGACGAGGACACAGAGTCGGATAATGAGCGGACGAAAGGGGACGACGAGGAGGACACTGCCGCCAGGGACAAGGCACCGGTGCCTCGCAGCGGACTCGCATCCAGCGTAGGCTCGACTGGCACGGCCATCCGCCACACGAAGCTCACGGATCTGGAGCAACACGTGCGCAACCTGGAGAGGGACAATCTGCATCTGAAACAGGCCTTGCTATTGGGCAAAAATGCTTCAGGCCGGAGTGCAGCGAGTGCTGCGTCGGCGTTGAGCAGTTTGGCAGGATTGAGAGGCGCGGGGATGCCTGGGGCACCCGGCGTGGAGAACCGCGCGAATACTCAGAAACTACTGGCGGAGAGAACCAAGGTGGTGACGGAGATGGTGGAGCTGCTCAATGCAGCGTATCTGAGTCTAGGCGACGCGTCCCGAGTCTGGCACGACGACTGCCGGATCGGTGTGGGTGTACGCGAGTGGGACGCGTTCGGACGTCTGCAGACCATCAGTCTGTGGAACATGATCCGCTCCGTGTTCACGAGTATCGTGGTGGACATCGTGGAGCTGCGACCACATTTGCCTGACGGGGAAATGATCCTCACTAAGTGGCGCATCCAGGGCGAGATCGCGTCGGCGCAGCACCTGGAGCGCGTGTGTGCGTCCGAGGATTGCCCGGCCACCATGCGCGTGGCGTTGATGGCGATCAAGTCGTCGGACTTGACGTTTACAGTCACCACGTACGTCGTGTTCCAGGAGCTGCGGATTGCCCAGCAGCATCACTGTTGGGATCAAGTTGGCGTGTTCAAGCGGCTCTTTGGCGGAGAGATCCCCACCAGCGTACAAAACATGCTTACTATCGACGAGGAGACTGCTGCAGGACGCAAGCAACCGCTGGAAGTGTAAGGGAACCTCACGCCGCCCAGCAACTTGTATTTATGTCTTCTTTAGCTTCCGACAAATTTCACACTTTTTGCTTTTCTGACTTTCGTATAAATACTCGAAGTAGAACTTTTAGTTCTCTATTTAGTATTTACGAACTTATCAGTTCGTAAATACTACTACTCTGACAGAATTTATTGTTGTTGTACAAAATCCAAAAGAATTTAGTTGGTCGAAATACAAAGTTCAAGATAAATCAATAATATTACTACATTTTTACATTTAACTAGTGTTTAAAAAAGAAACACTAATGAGAATGATATAATTGTGCTACTATATTATTTTGATGTCATACTTTAGTTTACACATAATTGTAGTACTACAGGCGGCACTCTAACTGATCCCTTGGGGCTTTCGATAGCTCTGTCATTGGTAGTGAATGCCCTCTCCGATGACGTCGAGCATGTGCTTCTTGTACTGCTTCATTTGCTTGTCCCACATCTTGCGTGTGAGCGGCACGCTGTGGCCGGACACGCGGCTGGAAACGAGGTTCTTCTTGCGAAGTTCGACGGGGATCTCCACTGGCGGCTGGGCCACAACGTGGCGCATGCGGCTCATGCTGAAGCGCATGAGTGGCTGCGGGTGAGATTTCAAGATGTGCTTCTTGAGCTGCTGGGCCTCGTGCGGCAAGGGGGTCGCACTAAGCGGGTCCTCGACTGGGCGCTTGTGGGTGCTAGAGCGCGGCTTGAAGTGCAGGTTGGACTTCTTGAGCGGAGGCAGCAGTCCCATGGCGATCAGTTAACTTTTTTTTTTTTTTAACCTTTTGAAGGCTGCAGTGGTATGCGTTTGATAGCCAATTCAGAAATGAGGTTGGCGCCTTCGTTGTCGCCATTGATCTCAACAAGCAGCGTTGCGCTAGACGTGCAGGATGATGAGCTCCGACTCTTATAAAGGGCAAGAGGCTTCCAATCACCCGTGCTGATGTCAAGCGGGCACAACATGTGTGCAACGCAATGACGTCCAATCTTGCTTGGATGAACGCGTGCCGGTGCTTTGGCACATCCCCGGAGGGCCCTTCCAATAAAGATCACGCGGATTTGGGAGGTGTTCAGGGGTTTTCAAGGCGGCAACATGAGAAAAACCAAAGGAATTCGGCAGACTCTCATGGCCACGACGACTTGGCGTTTGTTGGAATCACCGTGATTCGAATGGAGCACCAAGCGAGTCTGGAACGTGCTCTTCGTCTTCTGTTTGCATAGAATACTAATGATAATACAAATATAAAGAATCTACGGCGCCTGTTAAAGGGGGCTTGAATGAATAAATACTGCATGGGTGCGTCATGTTCAAGCTTAGGCTACCTGGCATTCTATCTGTATTTCTATATGGCAGGGTGGCTGAAAACTTCTCGGCGCTGAACTCGTCGTCTCCGATGGACGGCGGCGAAAGGGACTAACAACTGGAACGAGACGCGGGGTGGAGTTATTCTCACCGGTAGGTGACATACTCGTCGATCATGTCCAGGTGCTTGGTTATCTTCTTGCAGTTCTCCCACATGTGCATGGTGAGCGGGACGCTCTTGCCGGACACGACCATGCGCACGGCACGGCGGTCATTGAGCGTGTCCGGAATGAGCACTGGCGGGGTGGCCATGTGGCGCATGTGGCTCAGGCTGAAGCGCGTGAGCTTGGCTGGATGCGTTTCGAGGATTTTCTGCTTGAGAGCACGCACGTCTTCGGGCAGCTCGATGGCCACGGGGTGAGAATGACGGCGGAAGCTCGGGCGCTTCGAGAGCCCCCGAGGAGACTTGGCGGGCTGCGGCTGCGACCGCTGGATGCGTGGCAAGAAATCTGGTTGCACGCCCATTGCTGCTGTGAAGTCGGCTTGGTAACTTGTGGAATGAAGCTGCCGGGTCCGGAAAAAAGTGACGAGGCAGTTCGCTTGAACACCTCGAGACTTCGGCGACCGCTGGCCAGCCGAGCACGCAAACACACGCCGGAAGTGGCTCTGCACGTGTCGGCCGAACGCCAGCGTAGAACCGACCTCGGCACGCTCCCTGTGCAGGTCATTATACTTGCGCTGAGTATGATCGGGGGATCGGCCAGCCTTGAATCTGTCCGTATGCCGCGCGTGGTGCTTTTCGAAATCGTGATTGGGCCATCAGCACCGATGATAGGATGCCAGAGCTCGTCTATGCGAATCTGAAGCTCGCCGATTCGGGGCAAAACACCGTGCGACCTGTGCCGCATGTGATTCATCGACCAGAAACAAGACCACATCGCCGCCTGGTTCCGACGACGCCTGCCGGTCCCTATGTCGTCGATGCAGCAACTTAGCACTCCCGCATTGGTGCTTGGGGCCACGCAGCTCAATACACGTCACGCTGCTGTCAAAAGTTGCGCGAACGGAGACTTGGTCTCCGTTAAAATTCACGCAGATTGTGTTGACAGTGTTGTTACCACTCGACACTCAAGCGGTTTTGCATCCGAAAAACCACGCGAAGGATCGAATGAAAGGAGGAGCTGCCAGCTTTCGCTTGCCGTGAGATGTCTGGTCTTCTAGAACTCAGGAATGGCAAGCCGAAGCGCAGCATTTGCTCGTTGCCAGTGCTTCCAGCAACTTAATTCGTCTACGGCCCTTCCCGTGCGCGCCGCACGCAAGGCACGCTCGACTCGTCGCGTTTTTTTTTCGACTGTCACATTTGGCGCCGATGAATCGGTGATGATGCCCGCGCATCGCTGCCGGCACGAGCGGACCAATCCCTGCATCCGAAAAGCGAGACAAGCATCATGCGAGTCTTTGCCGCTTTGAAGTTTGCTGCTTGGTGCGCGCCGTTCGATGCGGAGCCAGTGGCGCGATTTGGCGCGCTTTTGCCGGCAGATTCCTGAAGATTCGCGTATGCACCGGAATCCGTCCCGAAGCGGCCCGAGATGCAGACTTGTTACAGTATCATGGAGTCTCCATGATGGAGGTTCCAACACAGCATCGAGTAACAGTTAGGATTCCACTACACTGTACAATTGAACTCACGCCCCCAACACGCCGCAAAGGACCGCATACTTGAACATACCCACAGTAACATAAAAATACTGGATACGTTCCCAGCAAGCAGGGTCGCGGATCGGTAGCATCTTGGTCCGATCACAGTTGTCAGCTCTGCAGACTCTGCTGCATGCAGTACGTGCAGACAGGTGCAGGCAGGTATCGGGTTTTTTGGACCCTGCCTCCTGTAAAAGTTTCGGCGATCATTTGTGGAGAACAGAACAGTCTGTACTACAGATGCCGACATTCAACTATATCAGTGATGTATGCGTAGGGCTGCAGCTGCCTTGGTGTGGTGAATATGGTGTCTGCAGTATCCATTCAACTTGAATCGCTGGGAATTAAGTTGAAAAGCCAATCAAGCAAAACAAACCATGGCCATAGCCGCCCGAGCGGTGACGTGTATTAACCCTTATGACTCGTTAACTGCTGGCGCAGGGAAAGCTTCGGTGGCGTCTTGACGTGGCAAGAGTGCGCCTAGCGTACCAAGCGAACCAGCGCTGCAACTCAGTAAACGAGCGCAAGCTAACCATACAGCGAGCTAGCGCTCGTGTGCTGAAATGCGGCGTTGGTACGCTTGGTAGGCGAGGCGAGCTCTCGCGCCGGTGGTATTATTGGTCGCCGTTGCAGAGCACTGTCAGGTCATGGTCGAGAGCTTGGTCGTCGGTAGATGGAATGGAGCGGATTCTGACTGGTGCGTTCTTAATCGCTGTTGGTTTTGGGGGTTGACTCCATGATGGTAAAATCTGGAGTGAGTGATTTCTAGATCGAAATCTTGAGACTAATAATTTGTAGCTGTAGTCACGAACATGAACAACACGAGCGCCACACGTCGGGCGTGACGTCCAATATGGCCGATATCTGAACACTCATCCAATCTCGGAGTTTACCAACAGGTGTTATTCATCCAAACACTGTGATTGCCACAATCTGTATTTTTTGACGAGGCATTTTGCGCAATGAAATGCCGTCCTTGAGGCCAAGGCGAAGTACATGTAGCCCAGGACATTTTGCATGCGAATACATGTCAGTTTAACGCCCGCAATCATGCAAGTTTTTTTTGTTTTCCAGCGATTTCGCAATGTTTTTCAATTGTGGTGTGTGTGTTTCTAGGAACATCATTCTGAAGGATTCATTCATATCTGCACCGGAATTCCAACTGCAACACTATCATAGCGCTCGATTGCAGTGACCTTCTAACTCACCGTAATGGCTTCAGCAGCGTGAGTTTTACCATACATATCTACCTCGCTTTCGTCCACATAGACAAAATCACTTTGAAGGCATGGTCAACTCGGATTGTTTTTCAAACTTTCGTGTTTAAATAGTGTATATACGGCGGTCGGCGGAACCGCTGCCGTGGGTGTTCGCTAGTCTATAGTCATTCTGTTGACGTTTTTGCTTGGCTGTTGCTGCTATTGCTGTTTGCTGTTGGGCGCTGGTATTGGCCTGCAGTGAGGGCTCTCACCGGAAGAGCGTGCAGTGCAGCGGGTACGACTCGGAGATCTGCTCCATGTGGTGTGTCTTGCGCTTGGTGTTGTCCCACATGCAGCGCGTGAGCGGCACGCTACGGCCAGCGACGGTCGTGGACAGCGCGCGGTGGCTGTTCATCTCCTTGGGGATTTCGACGGGCGGCACGACGCGCTTCTTCATGTGGCTCAGGCTGAAGCGCGTGAGCTTGACCTTGTGCGTACGCAGGATCATCTCCTTGAGTTGCTGGGCTTCCTCAGGCAGAGCCTCCACGGGCACAGGCGTTTCGTGGTGGCGGTGCCAGCGCGAGACGTGCTTGCCGACAGGTGATCCCGTGCGGACCTTGGTCACCTGCTCCTGCACGCGCGGCAGGTTAAGCTGAGGCTGCACTCCCATAGTGGCGGGTGGCGGGGTTGTTGGTAGGCTTGCTGTGGTGCTGGAAGGTTGCGGAATGGGCCTGCGAGACCCGGTCGCCAAAAAGTGACGGGGCTTGAACCTTTCGTTGCCCTTGTGGCCTTGACTGGCGCCCGAGTCACCGACCGACCGCGTCAGCGACAGTGCAACGTGAGACCCCGCAAAGGCGAACCACAAAAACATGCGAGGCACCTCGCACCAGCGCTTTAGGCTGGAATAAAGTATGCAGCGGGAATCCGGCGCTGGGCCGCCTTGCGATTGCAATGCAGAGAACGAGCGAGCTCAAGCAGTATGAGAAATTGTATGAGGCCCTCTCATCGGCACGATTGGATTCCACCGCCGGTGCCTCGGCTTTGATTCATGCGCCACACTACGGAGCCGGGCGTCAGACATCGAACGAAAGGAGGCGAGCGTCGGCGACGTCGACGACCTACACTCGGAGACCAAGATCCGGCGTGCGCACGTCGACTGTCACAGAGTCTTCCAATCAAGCAGGCTGAAGCCTCAAAGCTGGCAAATTGGACGGGCGTGTGGCCCCGAAGCGGGAATTCTTATGCCTCATGAGTTCTCGTGGTGCTTATCACTGCAGCGACACATCGCACCGGAAGCACAACGTCACCTCAGCGATTTCGGCGACGTAGGTTCGGTGCATCAATTACCGCCACCAGCGGAGTTGCGGTGTGAATGGCACCGGTATCCATACATGTAGCACTGCTGTTGCAGCGGCAGTAACTTGCAGCATGCAAGGGCGCCGAGTTGATCATCAGGCTTTGAAAGGGTTAAGCTTTTCTAGAGACACTGGCGGTACAGTGCGTCTTTTAACGACTAATGTGAGTTTACTGTGTCAGGTTGGGCCCGTTAAACTCGAAGTCGTACATGTGCGCTTGCGTACATATATTTTTATTTTAAAAAATGGCAAATATAGGAAAACAAACGTGCAATTGGGTTTTATTCTTTTTACTTTCTAAGATGTAAAAAGATTTAAAAAAAAAATACGGAAAGGCGAGCACATCCGGGATTTTGAATAGCTCAAGCCCGATTTGTAGAGCTTACTCTTCCTGAAACAACATCCGAATACTAGCCCGTACAGTCACTTATCTTTCTATTTGTATAGAAATACACCTAACCCTATAAATCAATTTTTTCGTGCCCCCAGACGTTGTTTCGATAGGAGGAAGCACTAACTCT